GGCAATAAATTTTATGTAAAGGATGATTGCGAAGAAACAAAGAAGCGAAACACTTTTCTGCGAGGGTGTAGTTTCTGAGAGCATGTATGAAGCATCCATCAAAAATCATCTTTTTAAAGTGAACTTCACAACAAATAATTAAATAACCTGTGTTATGTCTCCTTTTTTGCTAACTCTACCAGAAACAGTATTGACAAAAAAGGTTTTTGAAAAATTTTAACCTGTAAAATTCCAAACTCTCCGGGCCGATTGATTTTATTTACAACCGATCCGGTTCCAGTGCTGATATCGGCGGATAAATAATTAGTTTAAAGAACTAATCACGAGTTAAGCTTCAGTCACATAGAATTTTGATGATGTGATAATAAGAATAGAATGAAAGATGATCCTAATTTATATCGAGTTCAAAATAAAAATAAAAAAACCTCTGAAACAGTAAAGAACTATTAGAATCAATTCACTCAGAAGAAAAATATGTTTCACTTCTTTGGTGTTTTCTTAAAACCTATTTATATCCGTTTTATTTATATTTTTCAATAAACAGCTTTATAAGACTAGTAAAATGAACTATGTGTAATTAATTTTCTGTTTTTCTTTGTTTCGTTCACTCAGAAAAACCTTTTACATTGCTCGTTTATTGAAAATCAAAATTATAAATATTTGAGCATGAGAAGCTTTGCTTTCCGCAAATAAACTAAGTGACACTGTCGTATTTTGCTTTTGATTTCAAGAAAAAGTCTCCTGATCAACTCCTGTTTCTTAACGAAAAACCTCTAAATTCTAAAATTTCGATTTGGCAACTCTGATTTACATACATATGTAGATTTCATTTATGGTCACCTTGATTTGAAGTTTAGCCGTTATATATTTTACTCTCATATAAATGTAAAAGCAAACGCAAAAAGATTTTCTTTTTATTATCCTCGATAAAAATGTTACAAATGAAAGTGCATATACTATATGAAAAGAAATGAAGGCATCATAAATAATAAAAAAAACATTTTTTGATATACCCATGATGATCACGATAATATTAGCTCTTATTAAGAGAGAGACAAATGCATACTTACAGAATTGGAATAACAAATGTGAAAAAAGAAGAAGAAATAAAAAATACGACACGAAAGGTTAAAACAACGAAGAAATAAAAATGTATTTCTTATTTAAATATTTTCTACATATTGTTACTCTGTCACAATAAAAAACATCCATTTCAAAAGGTACGATTCGTATCTATTATATCTTTTATTCAGCAAAGGTATGATTATAATTATTTAGGTAGAATTCGAAAATGCAAAATAATTTACAGATATCAACAATATTTCCTGCCGAGTCTTTAGTTTCGAACCAACACGAAGTTGAACTTAGTGGTATTCGTATGAATAATGATAATTATACTATTAATTCGAAAAGAAGTCTCTCATATGGAAAATGCAATTGGTTTACTAAATTTCTTAACATGATGCTTAAAAAGTATAATTGTATCGATGTAGAAACACGTGGTATTGAACGTATATTATCAGAAGATCGTACCGATTGCAAAACTATCAATATAGCAATGATGTGGGTAAGATAGCTTGGGGGAAGGGGGGGGGGGCTGAGTGAGGGTAATTACTATCGATTTTATATTTATTAGTTTGGTGCAAATATAATTATACCAAGTTTTGCTAGTGGTATACTTGGTCCAGCACTATTCAAACTAAGTCTCTATGAATCATTTGTAACAATCATCTTTGGCACTTTACTTGGTATTATTCCAGTAGCAGCTATAGCCTGTTTTGGTCCAGCATCGGGCCTACGCACAATGGTCTATTCTCGTTACAGTTGGGGTTATTATGGTGCTTCGATAATGTCAGTTATTAATATTATTGTGTCACTTGGTTGGGCGGCTATAAACAGTATAACAGGTGCACAAACATTACGTGTTGTATTTAATGATTCAATACCAATGGTTGTTGGTATAGTTATTATTTCTATTATATCAATGATTGTCTCATTTGTTGGTTATAAATGGCTTCATATTTATGAACGATATTCATGGATACCAATATTTATAGCATATTGTATATTAGCAGGAGTTGGTGCAAAATATTTTACATCTTCTAAAATGGTTAGATTTTCAAATAGTATAGTGAATCTTATTCTTAGATATGATCGATTTTCGAAAAAAAAGGAACAGAAGCTTTGTTGAGAAAAAAGTTTGATGAAAATATTGAATTCATATTCGAGTGGATAAAATTTAAAATATATATACATCACTTATAGGTACCTATCAATGCAACAACATTGAACAATGATAGTCGTCGTGCACAAATATCTCGTATTTTAAGTTTTGGCGCAACATGTTTTAGTATTTCGTCTAGTTGGTGTACGTGTGCAGTAGAGATGTGCAGGGTAAGCATTTTTCATACCCTGACCCTACCCTATGAAAATTTCTTTTACCCTGACCCTACCCTACCCTACCACCACCGTACCCTTACCCTACCCTACCCTACTATCTCCACCATTTATCGTACCCTGACCCTACCCTACCCTATGCTATTTAAATCATTACCCTACCCTACCCTACCCTACTAATTGAAATTTTTTTATCAAAGAATAAGTACGTATGATAAATAACTTTTTTCATTTTATTTCCAAATAATAATAACTTTTGACTATTCAATGCATTTTCTGAAATTTCTTAATAACAAAATATCGTTCACAGCATCTTCATTTAAATTTTGTCTTCTTTCTTCTAATATTCGACCACTAGTACTGAAAACTCGTTCACTAGTTGCACTACTAGCTGGTACACCTAATAATGATCGCGCCAATAGACTAAGTTGCGGGTAATTTATCGACCATTTTTTCCACCATGCTAATAATGATTCATTATGCATATATACAACCTTGGCTTTGATATATCGTTCAACTTCATCAATATCCTCTTCCGCGTCAGATTCGGACTCATTGTTTTGAGCAAAGTCATGGAGAACATCTTCTTGACATGATTCACTTTTTTTCATTCGTTTTGGTGTTTTTCCAGGTGTACTAACATTATCTACGACATAAACATCTTTATGTTGTTTATTAGGTTCAGCTGCTTTGATCGTTTTCAACATTGTTCGTGTAGCTTTATGTACTTCTTCACGTTCTTTTTGACTGTATGACTAAAAGAGAAAGCATATTATTTTGGATTATTGCAGAATAGATGTGGTAGTAGATGTCCTTTGTATTCTAGACACTTACTAAAAGATTTTTGCTGACAGGATGCAAAAAAGTCGCAATATCGTGTAATTGTGTTAACCACATACTTTGTTCAATATGAGTTAAAATATTTTTTTTTAACTGTTTGATTACTGCATTATCTGCACTTTTAGTTTCACAAACATTTTTCAATTTAGTTGTCCATGGTAATACTAAGTGTAATGTTGGTTCTTGATCAGATGACAACTGTTCACTTGCTTTCTTGAAAGTTAATAAAATATCACCAATACCTTTTAGTAATGCATAATCAATTTGATCTATATAATCTCCATATTCTTTTCTTTCTACGAGAATAGATTCTATTTCTTTGAAATTCTTTTCAATAGAATACAACATATCATATACAGTATTCCATCTAGTATCACATTGTTGCTTCAAAGTAGTTGTTAACATGCAATTTAATTCACAACGTTTAAAATGCGTGACTAATTCACCAGAAGCTTTGATCAATGCATTTATCTTAGGACATTCTTCAAGTGAATGCTTTACAACTAGATTTAAACAATGACCTAGAAGAATAAAAGAACAACATTAATATAAAAAAAAAAGTATTTTTTCATGAAAATCGAAATTGTATCACTTTACTTATTTTTAAAAAGCAAGCAAAAAGTATATTCGTAAATAAGAATCATTTTCTTTTCATATTCTCGCGAAAATACTTACACACACATCGAAGATGAACTTCTGACTGAAGACCAGAGATAAAGTTTGACCCATTATCCGTCAGATAAATTATATGAGTCTCTTCAGGATTAATACCATATGCATTTAATACTGCTTTAATAACTCGTACTGTACTTTCACCGGTTTTTGCACCTACAAATAAACGAGTTTCTAACATAAATGTAACTGGATGATCATTCTTTGTGTAATGTATGTTGATCGTCAAATAGTTGTCAGTTGTGTAGGTGTTTTTCCAATAGTCAGTTGATAAACCAATAAGTCGCACATGTTGCAAATCTTCACGTAAAATATCCTTTAATTTCAATCGATATTCTTCTGCAAGTTGTTTAATAGTCCTAGAAACATTTGTTCTATCAGGAAGTAAGTTCTTGACAGATGGTTTGCTACATTTGTTCAAACCAAATTTATAACCAGTATCAATTAATGCTTGGCATAATTGTTGAAATCCATCTCCATGAACACTGTTGAACGAACGAATATCGAAAGCGCAATATTTTGCGCAAGAAATGGTGATTGATCTTTTATCATCTTGTGAAATACTAATGTCCTTTGTTAAATATTTATCAATCGATGATGTTGATCGATATGTTGTTGTTTTCTTCGTACAGCCTTGTACGTGTAAATTTAAAGAATTGGTTCCATTTTTTACTTCATATGATAATAACTGAGTACAAACCGTACATTGTACAAATGGTTCATAAACGTTATCTGAATTCTTTATTCTTAATAAATTTGACCAAAATTCACCAGAAGAACCAGTTGGTGGCTCTTTTGTTGTGGTTAAAGTTCCTTCTTTGAGTTGACGAATTACTTCTCTTTTTTTTTGTTCAATCTGAGCTCGAGGAGATTTTGTTGACATATTCATACAGGTAAAAATATTTAATTTTTCAAAGAAAATTTAGTATTATAAATAATGAACAATAGAACTTTTGTGAGAGAAAGTATATAAACAAGGAATTACATTGTGATCTATCTTTTTATTTGTTTTCCTTTTATCCAGTCTATTTGTGCGTTTCTATTTTAAAGAAAATTAATATATGCAGGAGAAAGATGTCGTTCTATAGTGATATATCTAGTTAAAAAAAACTTACCCTTACCCTACCCTTACCCTACGACTCTCTTACCCTGACCCTACCCTACCCTACTATCTCCACCATTTATCGTACCCTGACCCTACCCTACCCTACGACTTTCTTACCCTGACCCTACCCTACCCTGCAGGGTAGGGTAGGGTAGGACAGGGTAAGGGTACCCTGCACATCTCTAGTGTGCAGCTGATTATAATACATATTTTTCTGAAGATACAAGTCAATTAAAAATCTTCGTTCTTACTTATATCGGTAATTTCCTACCGATGGCTCTTCTACAATTACTTGGAGCAGCTGCTTATACAGGCACATACACCAATCAAGAATGGAATCATGCATATGAAATAAATAGTGTTGGCGGATTATTAGGTGCTAGTCTCTCATCTCTTAGAGGTTTTGGTAAATTTTTACTTGTTCTATTTGCATTATCGACTATTGGTAATAATATACTAAATATTTATTCTTTATCATTGTCTGCGCAAGTTATTGGGCCAATATTTAAACGTATACCACGCTTTTTATATACAGTTGTTGGTACTATAATATATATTCTATTAGCTATTGTTGCTGCAAATAAATTTAATGATTCATTAATATCACTTCTAAGTTTAACATCATATTGGTCAGTAGTATTTGTTGTTATTGTGGTGGAAGAACATCTTCTATTTCGATGGTATTCATTTAAAAATTATAATTTTGATATATGGAATAATCGTAAAAGCTTATCAGTCGGTATAGCTGCAATATTATCAGGTTTAGTAGGTGCTGTTGGTATTGCACTTGGAATGACACAAACTTGGTTCACTGGACCGATTGCAAAAGCTATTGCAGGTGATAGTGGTGAACAAGGTGCAGATGTTGGCCTTGAACTTGGTTTTGTTTTTACAGCAGTTAGTTTTCCATTATTCCGATCAATTGAATTATATTATATTCGAAAATAAACCATGTTTTGTTTATATATCTTGATAGTATGGGTGAGGATGTTGATCTCATTCTCATTCACTTACATCTACATTCACCTTCGCTCCTATCGATCCTTTCTATTGATAAAGATATCGTGAAATATATTTGAACATCGAAACAAATATTTTTCAAAAAAAAATAACAGAATTATAAAAACTCACGTGTCATGAAACATAAGCGGGTGTCAATGTGAGTAACTCTTCTTTATTTACACCCACAAACACTTACACCCTCACTCCTAAGTATTAAATTTAGTTATTAAGCAAAAAAAAAGATTTTATTAATAAGAAAAGCATAAAACTTCACATCAGAGTATAGTATCATCAATTATTATACTCTAAAAAGCCTCGCATTCGATTCTGATCCCATATTTTAAAGTTTTTCAATTTACATAATTTCTGAAGCCGTTTGTTTTTATTCTTTTCTATGTAATTACCAATGATTTGTTGAGCTAGTTCTATTATAAGACTAATACTAAGCCAATAAATTCCGCCGCTAATTAATTTAAACACATTAGTAGAGAAGAAAGGAAATATCCATGTTAAAGAAAATGCAAATTTATATAATTTTTGTCTTGTTTTTCCTAGAATTATATCTTGTTTAGTTGAATATGTTAATCCATTTCTATACAATTTCCCATATTGAGTCTTAAGGGTGTGGGTGTGGATGTAGGTATAGATGTCATTATTCCCTTAACCCACACTCACACCCTAGTTTTGTTTGAAACATAATTTAGTCTTTTGCAAAATACTAAAGTTTTTAGAAATGAACTCTACAAAAAAAATAAAATGTTCTACTTTAAAGTTAACAAATTGAATTTAAAATTTAAGAATTATTATTCAATTTGCTAAAACATCTGGTGGCTAGAAGATTATTTAATCTCCATGAAAATATTTATACTTTTCAAAAAAAAAACCTATCTATAAAAGATGAGTTTTATAAAAAAATATCTTTTTTTATCATAAAAACTTTTTAAACTTACTACATTTTTTTTAAATATAACGAAATTATTTTTACATTGAAAAAATGCGAAAAATCTTCTTCCATATTTCACATAATCGAGTTGACACTTTGCAGTATAGCTTAATTAATAAATTAACATTGAAAATAATTTGTTTTGTATTTAAACTTGTAATATTAAACAAAAATGTCACGACTATTTTTAATACAATATGATAATATCTATTAAATTTTATTTTCTCATTATGTTTATAATTAACAATCGAAACATAAATATAAACATTAAACTTGAATTTATTTATTTGATTATTACAAAAACACACCTCTTGCATTTGAAAGAAAACAAAAGTTTATTATAAATAAAAAATGGTTTATACAAAAAAATAAGAAGCTTGAGTATAATATTTTGCTTCAACGAAGAAAAAATAATTTATATTGAATCAGATTTATTAAGGATCTTCACAAAGAAGACCAGATAAGTTGATATCTTTGCCATCTATATTAACAGATGCAAGAAAAACTGTTGACAAAGGACTGAACGATCCAACAGCAATTTCCGAAGTTTTTTTATGTAATTCACCATTAACAACATTACACAAGCATTGCGTGTTTTGGAAACAAAAACCATCACATAGAACTCGTAACTGACCAACGAAAGTTTTATTCAACTGGTCCAATGGAGATGGCAACTTCGAGGTATCAATCGTATGTGTTTTTTGACAATACTCTCTACATATGTTCGGTTTTTCTCCTTGATGATTTATGCAGTAGTTATCCAACTCCTCTTCTATTTTAAAATAAATCTCAAAATAAAACATTCACCATAACAATGAATATTCTACTCACTTGTGTAATCATTATTACATCCTGAAGGTGCAGCAAAACCAAATGGTAGATGTAGAGCAACATATCCAAAGAAAGATAACATCAAAACAAATAATATTTTATCCAGACTAACCATTCTTGATAAAAGAAATATATTCGTATATTTTTTATTGAAGGATTAATATAAATTGTTTAATACAAATCGATTTTAAAATTTTCTCTATTTATATAATATTATTTCATACTTAATGCTCCTAAATACAATGATAATATCTGTTTTTGTTCTTTCAGTGCAAAACAAAGAATAAAGAATATTTAGTCATGATTCATTAATATTATACGTGTGTTGGATTTGTCTTCACATGATATAATCGTACAAAAGAGTACAGTAATAAGATAGAAAGAAACGATTGACTATTATCATCATCTTTTATTTTTCGTATAGAGATACAAAAGAAAGAGTGAGTATTGTCTTATTATGAAGCAAAAAATAAGTATGAATCATGTTGAAATAAAACTAATGTGTAAATAAGCATCATTTAAAACAAAACAAAACAAAACAAAATCGATTGATATTTTCATTTGTTTATCATAAATGAAATATAATCTATAAATTATTATTATTCAAATAAAGAAATATTTCACAAAATAAAACCTCAAAATAATCAAAATATATATTTTGTTTTTTTCTGATATTATTCAATATTTTTATATTGACTTTAAACGTATTTATTTGTTAATTAACATAAAACAATTTTAGTCTCACAATGAGGTAGTAATTATTCTTTCTTTTGTATTTCTAAAAAAAAAATTAAAGGATTGCATAAGCATACTTGATCACCTCTTTGACTCTTTCTTTCTCTATCTTATGACTATACTTTATTATACGATTATATTAGATATGAAGAAAATATAAATAGAGAAATTTTCGAATGAATTTAAATAAAATAATCGATATTTCTATTTCAAACACAATAAGAGTTTTGTTAAGAGAAAAGTATGTTTTTGATGAATTGTATTCAAAGCAAGTAGAATATAATTTTTAGTTGTCATTAAGAATCAAGATAAAATTAAGCGAAAGAACAAATTAATAATTTTTATAACAGTATAGAAATGAATTCTGTTTGAATGATTACTATATATTGAATAGGTGACAAGTTTTTAGAGCTACGAAATAAATGATTAACTGAAAGAAAGTATTTTTCACATTGGAAATACGTTTCAAATTATACATGCATTGATATGTATTAAATTATCGAAACTTATATATAAATTAAAGAATATTGGAAAAAAGCATGATAGTAAATCTCTTTGTTATTTTTATCTTGGTAGTTTATATAAAAATCGTAGAAAAACAACCTCTAAACACGATCTGTATTGAAATCTTTAATGTCCTCTCAACATTTAGTAAGGTAGAACTTAAGAAAGGTTGAAAGATGACTTTATATTTGTTTTTAATTGTAACTTTTGACGCTCTATCAAATGGACTGTTCATCTGAGAATCAAATTTTCGACGTATGAATATTTCTGAATACACAGTAGGCCCATCTTCTCATGAATTGTGTGTTTAGGTAAGACAAGAAATCCGTTAGATATGTGAAATAGAATGAACAATACAAATGTTTAATGAATTGAAAGTCAATTTCAATGAAATATTCTAGAAAAAATGTTCTCACTTCTTTTAAAAACCATTGATATTCTCTGTAGGTATATTAAACATATCCATTTTGATTGAAAATCGATTATTGTTAGAAAAATAATCGAAATAACTCCTATAATAATTTTCTAATATTTAGACTCATCACTTATAAGAGTGTTTAGAACAAATTATTTCTTAATAAATTTACAAAAAGAAAAGTCATTATTTTAGTTATAGATTTGTCAATCCAAATATAGAAATAATTGTCGTCAATATTCACAAAAAAAATTCCATTTAATTCCATTAAATTATACGCTACATTCAAATTTGAATATCTTCATTTAACCGTATGAAATTATACATTGTTAAATTTTATAACTTTGATAATTGTTAAGTAAGAATGTTAAATGAACTCTTCAGAATTAATATTCATGATAAATATGATGTTTCTTTGAGTATTTGTCATAAGTGTGATAGTCTAATTCCATTCCACAATTCGCTATCATATTTAAATGTTGAAGATTAGACAAATTTATTACTATTGTGAAAGTTAAACTGTATAGCAGGATTAATAAAGGACTAGAGTATATTTTTCATATTAGATAGTGAAAATCGTAGATAAAAATGTTAGACAACATGTAAAAATGTAATTGTTCATCATGGCTTCTAGTTTTTATCATGATATATCTACTCTTTTTATTCTTATGTTGATTTCGTTTTGAAGAATTGAAATATGACGCATATCTCTGAATAATTGATTTCTTAACAGTTGAACACGTCTGATAGAAGATTCATAGTTATTACAATGATTTATATGAACATTTACTTGGGACAAATTCAAAAAATCATTCTCGCGAAGCGAATATGATGATATGGCTTTTCAATGTACATGAAAAGACAATGAAAAATAAAATCAACGAACAAGGTACATACTTGGATGAAAGTGAACAGATCAGGAAAACAATATAGTCCATTCAAATAAAAATTATAATTTTATTAAAATAAAGTTTAGTTGTATCATTTTATAATTTAAAAGAATATATAACATATTTTTAATAATTAAATATAAATTAATAAAAAAGAAAATCTTCGATTATTTATTTATTTGAATGATGCTTCGAATAAGATTTATTTCTAACTTTTGAATTAGATAAATTTAGTAATCGTCATATCTGTATACGCACTTGTATTATATAATTTATTTCTAAAATAGATTCAAATACGTCATACGTATATGAAAACAAACTGCGTTTTTGTGATGATTATTGAGTAAATAGGAAAAATAAAAGTGCATAGATTACTCATTCATTCACCTGCATAATGATAATACGTCATTAAGAAAGGCGTAGTATCTTTTTCTACACCCATGTTATTATTAGAATATGCTTAAATGTCTATGCTTCATTGAGCAAAATTTATCTATAAAAGCTCAAGAATATACAATGAAATTTTATACAATTACATTTTTTCATATTACAAAGATATATATCAATCGATTAAATAATGGCTGGTTTTGGTGTAAATGTTTTTGATGCATTTGCCGACAATGCGGCTGATCGTTTTGTAAATAATTTTATACCGGGCAATGGTATGTTGTTTATATTTTAAAATAAAAGTAAGAATTTATTTGATTATTTCTAGGTGTTCTTCAAACGGGTGTTGATCAATGGCTTAATAATGATATTAATCGTAATTTAGGTGGAGGTCTTGGATCAAGTTACGGATATGGTTATGATAATGGCTTCGGCGGCGGATTCGGCGGCGGCTTCGGTGGTGGTTATGGTGGTGGATGGTATTAAATTTATTGAAAAAAAGACATTGTTTTTTATGTATAAAATAATCTGTGAACATTAAAATGTTTTAAATAAATAATGAGGATGTACAATATAAATATGCAGTAATTTCATTGATACACTATGAAAATATAATATATTCAGGTGTATCATAGAATGTTTATTACGTTTTTGTTAGTTATCATCAACGCATATAAGAACATGAAATTATTTCATTTAAATTCCATGATAAATAGAATATTTTTATTATTATGAATATGAGATGACAGATAATAAAATATTTGTTTTAAATAGTTAGATACAATACGGTGTATATTATTGTATTTGTTGCTGTTGTTTTGTGTATACAAGTATTGCTCGAAGCCATTTACTTAATGTATAATACAACTGAGAGATATTTTTAAGTTCATCTGGTTGACATTCATATTGATCAAAAATCGAATTGAGTTTTGTTATTTGTTCTTGACTTATATGATCTTGATCCAAATCAAATAAGCGTTTTAAAAATTGAGCATAATCGCCTGCCATTCTATTTTTGTCATCTGTCCATTGTCATGTTTGTTTCGAACGTTCGAGTAAAATACGAACACATTAAAATCTGATGATAATAATTTACGTAAAGATTCTTCAGCCTCTAATAAAAAAATCTTTTCTATATAAAAAAAATAAATAAAAATAATTACGGTTACAAAGCAATAAATTATAACAATTTAGAGTACAGAATAAAGAAAAGAAGTCACACGACGTCGTGAATAATTTACGATTGAGTTTTACAAATTATCAGAAACGAAATAGATTGTTTAACCTAAGATTTTAATCGGTATACATTCTTAAAGTATAAAAACTTTACATTATCGTGTGACTTTCACTTTTCACAAATGCGATCAAAGAAAAACATTATCTTTTATGTTGTATTTCAGAACAAGAATGATTATTAATCTAACATTTTGTGAAAAAGTAAAGCTGAATAATAAGTTTTAGATAAAAAGATCATTTCTTTTCATTCATTATGTAGATACAATATGAACTGAAAACGATCAATCAATGAAAGTTGTTTATATTGAATTAAAATACGTAAATATCTATGGAAAACGCCAAAAATAACATGAACCAAATTGGATAGGATAATATCAATCAGTTTTAGCTCGAAATATAAGAAAACTCTCGAAAAACAGGAGAATAGGTATTTTTTCTTTCATTGCGTCATCTCTGAGTCATTCTGTATGTGTAATTACGAAATTTTTATTTATTGAATAAAAAAAGCTATCGGTATCGGGATTCGAACCCGAGTCTTGGCGTTGAAGGCGCCTTATCCTAACCTCTAGACTATAGCGATATAAAACATCTTCGATGATTTACTTTTCCATTTTTCTGATTTCACATTCCATACCCACGTTAATTTTATCACTTATGACATATCGAAAACTAACACTGATTAATGTTATTCTGTTCCACATATAGGCAGAACGCTCTCGTTGTGCTTTGGACATTTATATATACTTCACTAGGTTGATCGGATAGGTTTTTCTCTTGACGATTTTTTATAAAGAGTGTTGATTTTCAATGTTTTTTTAGTTATAATAATAAAATGATATTTTCTCTGAAGCAGTTTGCTTTAACATCGTGCCTGCCAGATTTCTACGTCACTATCATAAAATATCATTATTGCACATGATAATTGACATCTGCCATCGTTTTATTCACAAACTAGCTTAGAAAAGGAAATACCTTTATGATTTTTATTTATCAGGTATTTCAAATGTTGTGTTTCTTGCAAATGTATGAATAAAGATATTTTACATTGACGTCATTCTGTAGGCGATTCTGTAACATATGGCACAGCCCTATGTCACTTAATTATATTTGAGAATATGATGAAAAAAGATTTTTATTTTTGTTGAATTTATCACATAGGAGAACGTTAAAAAAAGGTAAGGATTTGTAGGTAATAACAAATAGAATAATGATCTATCAAAGTTTGGCATCAATTGAACTTGTTGAAATATATATTTTCTTTAGTTGCTTCTGTTTAGTTTGATACGATAAGTGAAGATAATTGTATAGAAAACATAAAGAGTATGTCAAATCATCTAAAAATATACAGAGAATTGTTGCATATACTTGATCATATGTGCAGGGTGTTTGTATTATATATTGGTATTGTATCTACACCCTTGTATCTTCTATGATTAATAAACTATGAATAACTTTTTTCCTGATTTAATCTCTTCTTCTTCAAAATATTATTTTGTAGATTTTTCATCGTCAAACTATTTTCAGAAGTTTTAAATTTTACACAAACCATGAACAATGAATCATAACAAGATAGGAGTTTATCATGTAATTTATTGAAATAAAACAATATAAAATAACTATTGTTTTAATTAATTACTTTAGTCTGAATCAATTGATTCCAGCTCAGTTGAATCATCAACTATACAATCAAGAATTTTGTATGTATATTATGAAGTTAAGTAAATGATGAAACCAATTGTTTATTTCAGATGTGAATGTTTTCGAAAAAGAAAGTTGATGTGGATAATCATTTTTTGTATTGTCATAGTGTTAATTATAATTATACCAATAATTATTGTTAAAACGAAAAAAGTAAAGGAACCACAGGTATCGACTACAAAAATAATATCCATAACAACAGAAGAACCAACAACACAAGGTAAAGTCTTATTCTGAAGAAAATAGGAGGGATATCGTCTCTTATTTTAAATAATTCATAAGAGAGAAACTAATAGAAAAGGGTGTGGGTAGAAGTGTATTATGGACACAATATTGAAACAGACATTCATATGCACATCTACACACACATCCTCGGATCTCCCCCATAATGTGACACAATTTAGAGTTTTGACTTGGATGCATTCAGCTATATATAATACAAGATTTGAAAAGTATCAGCGAACAAATCATATTATTTGTAAGGTTATCTGTTTGAGTTATTGAAATATAAATATAATTGACAATAAACATCATATGAAAAGAAAAATAAGAGAATCTATCTGATCGACAAGTACTAAAGTATGAGTGGAATCTTATCTTTTTTTCTTCTGTAGCGGCACCTATACCATCAACAACAACAACAACAACATCAGCAACATCATTATCATCATCAACAACAACAACAAATGGTCAGTAATATCCTAGATGATTTGGTAGTACTGTTTGTAGCTTTTTCATGGATAATTAGTCTAATACATTGTTATCTAACTAAATTCGAAAATGAGTCTACGAGCGCAGATGTTTTTTTTTGTTTATTAGTATTAGTGACTAGTATACTCGATAAATGTCTGATACGAGTTGAGTAATGATCTAATAATAAACATGTTCTAGTTACTGCTTATTTCTAAGTAGAATCCAGTGGATTCACAGTTTTCTATATAAGCCCACATTCGGTTTGATTATACCAGATGAGCTTGATTTGTTATCACTATCAGCATCTTATTTTGTATGAAATAATTAGTTTAAGGCTAGATATGGTATTTTGGCAGAGCGGTTAAAGCAAGAAAAATTCGGTCAGATTCGCTATAGGATATCGCAGATTGTTCAAAACTCGATAACACGATTCTCTCCGCAGTTTTCGCTTCGTTAGGAATAAAGCTGCTGCAATATACTTAGAAAAGTAAAGAAATTGCTATATTATAGATCGTCAATATACAAAGTATCGCATAGTACTTCAGAAAATTAGTTTACTGTACTTTATTAATTAAAAATATACTTAAAAGTGCTTTTAAATCATCTTTTTTTCCCTACATATGGTATTCGAACAGCGACTTTGGCCTTTTCCAGTTAGCGAAAGTCTAGATCTCGTTAATCAGAATAGAAAGAAAATGATCATAGTGACACTGTAAAATATCGAAGATTGCTCAAAACGAGTGTATTCGACGCCTTAATACCAAATGACAGTAAAATTGTGTTTGCGATAGATTGCAACATGTTTTCTAATCAAATCACTTACGCAACTGGCGCTAATCCAGTTGCAATAACATTATTCGATGTAAATAATGATAGCGCACCGGATATTATTGTCGCAAACCAGAACGACCACAGTATCGGTATTCTTCTTAACGCCGGCAATGGCATATTCCATTCTCAGATTACTTTTCCCACTGATTCTGGCCCGGCTGCAGTAAAAGTGGCCGATGTGAATAACGACAGCAAACCCGATATTATTGTCACACATTCCAGTTCAAACAACTTCGGTGTTTTTCTTAACACTGGCAATGCTACGTTTCTACTGCAAACTACTTATCCGACTGTCAAAGCTCCCGACTCAATAGCATTAGTTGATGTGAATAGTGACAACAAACCTGATATTATTGTCGCATACCCTCTTGGACACAACGTTGACGTTTTCCTAGGCACTGATAATGGTACGTTTCTGTCTCAAGCTGCTTATAAAACGGGGACAACACCTAAGTCACTAGTACTCAAAGATGTCAATAATGACAATAAACCTGATATTATTGTCGCAAACCAGGGTTCACTCAGTGTCAGTGTTCTCCTTAACGCCGGCGATGGTACATTTCTTCCTCAAACTCCTTATCAAACTCGGACAACACTTAGCTCGATAGCAGTCAACGATGTGAATAGTGACAACAAACCTGATATTGTTGTAGCAAACCGAGGCTCACAGAGTCTCAGTGTTTTTCTTAACGTTGGCGATGGTACATTTTATTCTCAAATAGTTCATCCAATTGGGTCAGCACCTTTCTCAGTAGCAATCGTCGATGTGAATAATGACAACAAATCCGATATTATCGTGACAAACAATAATGTGAACAACGTCGGTGTCCTTCTTAACGCCGGTGACGGCACGTTTCTTCCTCAAACTACTTACTCGGCTGGTACTGCTCCTTGGGCACTTGAAGTAATCGATTTGAATAGCGATGGAAAACCTGATATTATAACTACAAATCCCCATTCAAGCAGTGTCAGTGTTCTCTTACACTGTTGAAATTTGATCATTGGCATCAAACTATTGGATTAAAAATATGGGATATTGATGTGAGGAGGAGCAAATCAATACTTTAATTTCATCTTCAAGGTGTCTACAGTGACAGAATTCAAAACGCTTTTTTTGTTTAGTATTGCTTATTAATTTTAATAAAATTCTAATTATCTAGTAGAACTATTTTTAATTATATACAGCTATTATCGTCAACAAAGAATTCTATTTTTCTAGGAAAATTCAGTTACGAATTTGGCTTCACAGCAGAATTGTGCTCTCCTATATACATATATTACACTGATTATATGGAATATCTGTTTAGGATCCTGGTTTTCATTGAAGATTTGTAGCGTAAATTCTTAAGATTTATCTTTATATGATGATTAAAACTTTATTGTGAATTGACTTCTTTATATATAATATGGTAGGGTGGGTGTGGGCTCATCTTTTCTTCATCTCATACCTATGCTCTGAACTGATTGAAGTTCGAATCGAAATATTAAATAAAATTGAAAAATATGTTATTGTTTATTTGATGTTAATTTATTAATTTAAAATGTAAAGAGTGAAAGTAAAATGATGTTAACATTCAACAGCATATCTATAGATATTCAATTCTTCGGAGACGAAAAGATAATTTTTCGTCAGGAACAACTTTGTCGTCGTGTACATTGGAGGTATATCGGAGATTGCTGTTGAATCAACAAGTATACTTGGTGTTGTTTTGAAATCTTCACCGAATTTTAATTGCTGTATGACCAATAAATTGTTTCGAGTAGATGCTGTAGCTAAATAAAAACAGCGATCTTTCAATGGTGAAATACTTGCCGATATAGTATAGGTTAAAATAACATCTGCATCATTAAATGTTGCTCCATAAACTACATCACTCGAAGAATTAGTCGGTGCCGTAAATTGTGTATTCATAATTGAAACTGTCCAATTCGTGGAATCACCTGTTATGGTGATGCCCCATTGTTGTCCACTTGGAGCGTACAAATACAAATTACGATTGGTTTGTGCATTAGGAATTGAATTCATTCCAACGAGAGTGAATTCTTTGTCATTGGAATATTTGAAAGTACAAAGCATTTCTGATGTGTAGGATGCATCATGTGGACCACAGCCAACTGAAAAGAGTAGTTGATCTACTTGAGCAGCACTGCTAAATGTTCCAAGATGTGCATTGAGAAAGAATGGTGATTGTGATGGACGTATAACAGGCCATGTTTGAAATTTGAAATCAACCAAATTCAAAGCACCTACTGAATAATTATTCGAACCAGAAGGATAAGAATTCAGAAGAAAATAAACATCGTTCGCAGCTGTTGTTGGTCGGGATGTGAATAGAGCAAATGAATTCTCCGAATGAAATATCAATGGATCACCAATAGGAGTGATTATTGAAGTTAAAATGTCAATTTTAAATCGAAAAAACAGAGTATCACCACCAGGAAATGAGAAAGATGAACACATGAGAACTACAGCATTTCCTAGAAAAAAAACAAACTAACGCTTATTAACGAAAGAAATTTATTTTACCTTGATTATTGTTGTAATAAGGAATAAATTGTGCTCCAAAAGTACATTGACCAGTGATATCACCAATAACGGCAGTGCTCAATTTTATAGTTGATCCATTTCTGTACATTATTTCTAAATACGATGTTGGAAGACTCCATGGACCTGCGTTGTTGATATTAACAATTGACAAAATTGTTGCTTCATCGGGCAAAACAAAAATATCATTGATTTCACAAGTATGAAATTTACCCGGCACACAATCTATCACTTTATAAATAGAATCATCAAATTTAGGTGATATTCGTGCTTCAGTTATACACCAAAGTAAGACGACGATTAGTATGTATTGAAAAAACGACATTATATTTATGTTGTGTTGATATAAAAGCCAACAAGCAATTTATTTTGTGATCAAATATAAGAAATAAGAACACATCTGTGCTGAATCCCATAAAAAACCATCATATTTTGAGAATGAGAGTGTGCATATTACATAAAACCTGTTATTCAATATTTGAATTAAATTATATAAAGTTAAACTATCACAAAATCAATATGATAAGAAAAACACTCAGCATCGATAGAATCGATTACAAAGCACAATCATGATCAGTTCGTTTGACACGTTTTGAATAGCACGGGTGTGTGTGCGTATTCCTAAAGTAACACTCGCATCTACCCTCAAGATGTCTTGTACATTTTTATCTGATCCATACAATAAACAGTGGATACATCTGAGAATCGACTCTATCTGATGCCATATATCCATATCTTAGTTATTTATAATATATAATAAAATAGATCATTTCTTCGACTGCATTATATATTTACTAAGATAAAAAAGATCTGACATAACAAAATGTGAAAGTAAAGCATAATGTTGCACTATCATGCTCACACATAAAATTTAGTCTTTAAATTCATAAGAATAGCATACCTTTTTTATGACGAAGATAATATTACTTATCTTTTGTTACTCATAGGAATAGTATGCAAATTGTGAGCGTGTAGCTCAAAGTGACTACTCTAGATGTGAAGCTGGAGA